CACGATCGCACTGGCGGTTGCCGAGAACGATCCAGCAGAACCCAGGGTCGCCGACCCTCTGGCTTCCTCAGTCTCGCTCGCGGCGACAGCGCTCCGCGCAGTCTTGCCCCCCTCGGATTCCCGGGGTGCGTGTCGTTTTCACAGAGCGACTCGCAAAACAACCAATGGAACGCGCGCTAGATTTCGCCGCGCATTTCGGCGCCGATAACGCCGGCATCGCACGCGGGCGCAACGGAGCCCTGGAGGTGCACGCGAGCGGCGTTCCAGGGCGCGGTGACGGGGGCGCCGTTCACACGCCCTGGGTGCTTCACTCTGTCGGACGCGCAACTTCGGCGGCCAGATCGGCGCCCAGGCCGGCTTGGCCGCGTCTCGAGGGTCGGGGGGCGGCGAAAGGGGAAGAAGATGACGCCGCGATGGGCGGGGCCACGGAACGTGTCTTCCTGTGTTTGTCACAAACACAGGAAGACGGCCGCCGTCTACAACGTGGGCGGCGGACAGAGGCGCGGAGTTCGTGGTGCGCGGGGCGAGGTGGCATCAAGATTGGGCAAGGCAGCCGTGGCGCCATGCCTCATTAGGGTCGACTTTGTTCGCGGACTTCCCAGGGCATCGGAGCACGCCGCCTTGTGCGCAATCAAGATTATCAGGGTCGGCGTCTCCTTGGGCAGAGAAGTGGGCTATCCAGACGGGCGGGGGCGATGGGGGAGTTGCTCGAGGAGTCGAGCAAATCGCCGTGCATGTCGGAGGCCGACCGCGACCGAGCAAAGGAGTTCATGCCCATCGATTTCTCGAGGGCCAGGGCGAGCACGCGCGCGGCCGCGGTGTCTCCACCTAGGCTGGAAGGACGAGCTCTAGAATAGTGGTCCGGCCAGGAAGAGGAGGGGGAGGGCCCGCTTCAGGGCGCATTCGCGCGCGGCGTGGAGCTCGGGGTTGCGCGCAGGTGCTGGGCCAGGTTTGCGAAGGGCGCCAGCTCTTCCACCCCGGCGCAGCGCGCGCGACGTTCGCGTTCTACGCCGCATCCAGACAGACCGCAATCAGCGCATCGCTCGCGAGAGAGCGTTTGCAGAGCTTGGAGCCTCCAGGGGGTGGCGCGGTAGATGCGACAGCCGAGTTATGCGCCCCTTCGCCCCCCCAAGTCCCAAGTCTTCCGCTTGTGATCTGCGCGGCTTCGAGGGTGCCAGCTCGGGGGGCTGCAGGAGACGCATTGGCTCGAGCCATCTCCCGCGGGTCATTGCGGCAGAACGACCCGACCGTGGGCGAGGATCAGCTCGCGATGGGTGACATCGCCAGGCCCAACTGTTTCAGGAGCAGGACGGACCAGACGGCTCTCCTTGGATCGCAGGCATCCAGGGAAAAGAAGGAGAAGCAGGGGCACGGCAAGGGCGCGGACGGGGGCAGCGGCGGCGGCGCGGCAGACGCGTGCAAGGCGAAGGCGGAGCTCTCGATGGCCAAGGCTCGACAGGCCGCCGATCTCGAGGTGAGCGTGCACGACCACTTCTCGGCCACCGAATGCGGGGTCACGATGGGCGCGGAGCCCGTGATCGTCGGGCAGGAGTGCGGCGCGGAGGGGACGAAGCAGGGTGACGAGGAGTCGGCGGACTTCAAGGCACGGCGCAGCCCGCGCATCAGAGGCTCTAGGAAGACGGTGGTCTCGACGATCAAGCGAAGCAGTCTCCAGAACGAGCAAGCCGAGGAGGCGGCGTGCAAGCTGATGGTGAGATATTGGAAGGAGCAAGGCACGACGTTCATGCCGAAGCAACAGGTTCGGTGCCACAAGACCAGGGTGATGGAGGAGAGAGACGGCAATTGCGGAGCACGGGTGGCGACGTTTAGCAAGCAAGGTGTTGGAGCCACGATCGGAACAGCTAGGTGGGAATGTTTGAACGCAGGGGAAGGAGCTCCCAGCGGGAGCCGCTCGATGGGGGAGAAGGCAAGGTCCCCGGCGGTGATCAGAGGAGGAAAAGGCTCGCGAGAGAAGTCCAGGCGCCCGCCGGAGGAAAAAGGGTCTGAGAAAAGTGGCCTGGTGCAGAGTGCCATGCTCCGCGGTTTGATTGGCAGGGGTGGGGCCGCTGCTGCTCCGACCGGGGAACATATTTTCCATACTGGCCTTTCCCCTGTCCTCCCACAGATCCCGGTCGAAGTCTTACCTGGGGTTGCTCAGAAAGACAAGGGGAAGGGGGGAGGGTCGTCGTGGAGGCCGCAAGGGTCGTGGTCGTGGGGGGGGCGGGCGTGGGGCAAAAGACACATGTGCCAGCCAGTGGTGGAGGGCTTCGGAAACCCAGCTGCGCGGCTGGTTGGGGGCCTGTGCGTCGGATGCCTGCGGGGCTCGGCGCCCAGGACCTGGAATAGATATGTGGGAGGGCTTCCTCAGCTATCGTTCGTCGGCGGTCCTCCGGTCCTCCGAAACGGGGCTCCCGCCTGTCTGCGTGCCGCGAAGTTGGGCCGCCCTGCGTGGAGGCAGTGCGGGTCTGGACCCGAGGGGCCAACGCCTTGGGAACAGGATAGTATCCCCCTCGCTCGTGCGATGCTCTGAGGCCCTGTTTTCTTGTTGTTGTGCAGAGACCCCCCTGATGGAGTTATTCGGTTCGCTCGAAGATGGAGGCGGCAACCGCGACGACGACGATGACGACGACGACGGCGACGACGACGACGACGACGATGATGATGATGATGATGATGATGATGATGATGATGATGATGATGATGATGACGATGATGATGATGATGATGATGATGATGATGATGATGATGATGATGATGCTGCTGATGATGATGATGATGGCGGTGGTGATGCTGACAGTGGTAGCGGCGGGAATTATGATGGCGATGGCGATGGCGATGACGATGAGGAGGAGAAGGAGGAAGAGGAGGAGGAGGTGGAGGAGACGGAAGCAGAGGAGGAGGAGGAGGAGGAGGAGGAGGAGGAGGCGGAAGAGGAATATCGTCACACGTAGCACTTCTTGTCTGCACTATTTGAGATGATCTCGTGGGCCTCGTTTTGGCAGTCTTGTGGCTGTCCTGGTTCTGCGAGGCTGCCTTGGGGGTCCCCTTTGGGCCCTCTTGAGCCGCTCTGGCGCTCTCTTTGGCCGCCCTGGCGCTCTCTTGGGCCGTCGTGGCGTTATTGTTGGCCAGTCGGTGTGGTGGGTGCCTGTGGGCCGTTGTAGGGCTGCCTGGGCGCTGTCTTGGGCAGCCCGAGGGCCCTGCGAGGCCGCCTGGGGTCCCACGGGAATCCCTCGTGGGTCGAATTGGGCTGTGTTGGAAACAGTAGGGGTCCTGAAGAAGAAACCCTTTTCGTGGGGGAGGGACTCCGTGTTCATTGATTGTTTCGCAGCTTGCCTCAGGTTTTCCTTATGTTTTCCGATGGGAACATCGAAGTTTGACTCATGGAGAAAAGGGGCCTAGTTCCTCATTTATCGTTCCTTAGGTCAGGCCGATGACTGTACCTCCTGGGCCTCTGTGGGGTTCTCTTGGGCCATCACTGGGCCCTCGTGGGGGGGCGTGTTGGGCCGATTTCGATACTGTGGAGGGTTCTTGGGCCGTCCTGGGCCCACGGAAGCTTGAAACGGTGATAGTGCGGAAATGATTCAACAACCACCGGGGGATTAATTGTTTCCCGGGCTCTGTTGGAGGTCCTCTTGGCACCCTTTTTTGGTGGTCTCCAAACCAGGTGGTGAGACACCCGGTGGTGACCCCGATTCCCCCCAAAAATAATTCTGGGTCACCATCGGGTTTGGGGACACGCGGTCGCCACGAGGTTTTTCTTTTTCCTGGGCCATCCAGCGCTCGAAAACCATTACCCAAATCGCCCAAAACTCACCACCGGGTGTTCTCACCACCACGTTTAGGGACCACCAACTTTTGCACCCTCTTGGAGGCATCTTGGGTTACCTTGAAGCCGAATTCGGTCGCCTTGGGGCCATCTTTGGCCCGTCTTCGAGGCATCGTGGGCCGTCTTGGTTGCCTTGCTTGCCTGCCTGGGCTGTCGTTGAAGCCCAGGACGCGGACATAGTTGTTGTACGAGGGATCGTGGCCTCACGAGCGCGGATCCTTTTTAGTTTATGAATGAACCGATCGTGGCTTCGGAAGCAGGGGTGATTCATGCAACTCTCTGCGAGTAGGAGGGGGGGTCCCATGTTAGAAGAAACCCTACACAGCAGCACCTGGCATTCCAGAACATATCGAGCAGGCATGGTGGCGTATGCTGCACAACTGTTTCTGCTCGGAGTGTGTGACAGTCAAAAGAAGATGCATATTCGTTAAAGAACCACTCCACTGTACGCACTACGACCATGTACAATGAATGTGCGCAGCGCTGTAGCGTGCACCACATTTTGCAAACGGGCCGCCCGCCTCCTGCGTAGTTGTTTGAACTGTCAAGCCTCTGGTATATAAGGTACAAAGCAATATTCGGCGAAACGCCCAGCCAGTCATGTCGACACGCTCGGGCGTGTGAGGATGTGCAAGAATAAACCATTAGGAGGAGCGATGGCGAGAACTGCAGAGGGGGAGGAGGAAGAGGAGGAGGAGGAAGAGGAGGAGGAGGAAGAGGAGGAGGAGGAGGGAGGAGGAGGAGGAGAGGAGGAGGAGGATGAGGAGGAGGGGGAGGAAAAGGAGGAGAAGGAAGAGGAGAAGGAGGAGAGGAGGAGGGAGGAGGAGGAGAAGGAGGAGGAGGAGGAGGAGGAGGAGAGGATGATCATGATGATGATGATGATGATGATGATGATGATGATGATGATGATGATGATGATGATGATGATGATGATGATGATGATGATGATGATGCTGCTGCTGCTGCTGCTGCTGCTGCTGATGATGATGATGATGATGATGATTATGATGATGATGATGATGATGATGATGATGATGATGATGATGATGATGATGATGATGATGATGATGATGATGATGATGATGAGGAGGAGGAGGAGGAGGAGGAGGAGGAGGAGGAGGAGAAGGTACCGTCTACAATGCAATGGCTGGCACGTGTGGCCCCCCTGCTGCAGGATGGGATGTGCCGCCGCGGTCCGCGGCAGCAGTGCCGCCGTCGCCGTCCCCCTGCGTGGGCGCCGTCTCCCCTGTTGGCGCTGCCTCCTTGGCGCAGCACCACCTGCTGCAGCTGCAGCAGCTCCAGCAGCTTCAGCAGCTGCAGCTGCTGCACTGCCCCGTGCAGCTGCAGCCTCAGCTGCGGCTGCAGCACCTGCAGCAGCTGCAGCAGGCGCAGCACCAGCAGCATCAGCAGCTGCAGCAGCAGCAGGCTGCAGCAGTCGCAGCTGCAGCTGCAGCTGCTGCAACGGCAGCTGCAGCAGCACCGCCGCAGATCGAGATCGAGGGCCCCAATCGGGATGCTTGCTACCGGGCCTCCCACCGGCGCTTAAGGCAAAGCCACGGGCACGCCGTCTGCGACGTCATGGTGCTGGGACCTTGGCGAGCAGAGCACAAAAGGGCGGCAAAAGACCTTGAGGCCTTGCGGCTCGCCTTCGAGTGGCAGGGCCCCGCTGCCCTGCTCAGCTCCCAGTTGGACTTCGAGGCAGACGAGGCTGCCAGGGTGGCCGCGCTCGCCGTCGCCGCCGGGCCGCACGGAGCAACGGCTCGGAGGCTCGAGGCGCCAGTGATCGGGATGGGCGGGTGGGAGCTGGAGGGCGAAGTCATGGGGGACGGCAGCAGCCGCCGCACGAGAGCCGTGTGTACCTTCGAGGTGGACGGCGCTAAGGTCTTGCTCCCAGGGCTGTGGCGGCCGTCCAGGAGCGCCGCCGAGGACGACGCGTCGTCGATCTTAGAGGGCTTCCGCCGCTGCGGCCTGCTGGGGGCGCAGCAGGCTGCCGGGAGTCGCCAAGGCACGGCAGCGCCGCCGCCGCCCCAGGGCGCCAACGGGGGATTCGTGGCCCGCCCTGCCGCGCCAGGGCGGGCCACTGGCGCCGCCCCCCCGCCGCCGCCTCCTCCTGCAGCGGCGCCGCCTCTTCTTGGCTCGGGCGCTCCGCCCCCCGCCGCACACTCCGCCGCCGCGCCGGCGCCTGCCGCGCCGCCCGCCGCTGCACCGCGGCACCCGCGGGCTGGTGGCGTCCCGGGGCCGCCCGCCCCGCTGCCCGCTGCGCAGCAGCCCGGCCAGGAGCCTCAGCCCCCCGCGCCTCCTCCCCCCGCTCGGTCGCAGTTCCAGAAGAACACCCTGGCCGCGCCCGTCGCGGCGGGATCCGCCCGCGCCTCTCGCGGCGGCAAACTGCGAGTGGTCGTCGAGAAGGCCGAGCAGGGGTTCGCAGCGTGCGTCTACCCCGCGCGTGGCCAAGACGAGGCGGCGGCCGCCGTCAGGGCGCCGTGGCGTTCCTCCCAGGAGCGGGCGAGCCAGGACGCCGACCGGATGGTGGACCTGTACGACAGGACCAGCTCCACTGGTGCGGTGCGCGCACTTGCCGGTGCCATGGTCAACGACGAGACGGGGACCGCGCCCCCACCTTCACAGGCCCCGCTGCTGCCGAGGGCCGGCGACGGCAGTGGAGCACTCCCGGGCGACGTAGGCAAGGGCGCACTGGAGCTCGTCGGGGACGAGGCGGAGCTGGACGAGGCCGCATACCAGCCGCCCACGAGGACGGGAGCCGTGAGGGCGGCACCGCAGAAGCCCGTCCCGAAGAGCTCCGCCGTGCAGAGGCCCGTCCCAAAGAGCTCCGCCGCGCGGAAGCAGGCCCCCAGGGTCATGCAGGCGAAGCCCAAGGCGCCGCCCAAGGCGCCGCCCAGGGCGCGCCCCAGCAGCAGCCTGCCCGACGGCAGGCCTTCTCCTCGCCCGTCGGTCGCGCAGCTGGGTGCCTACGGCTGCCGGCTGGCCGAGGGCCTGGATCCCCGCGGCCGCTCGCCCTCTTGCGCGGACGACGAGGAGTGCTGCGAGGCCCGAGGTGAGCCCTGGGCGTCGGAGGCGGACGAGGACGCTGTGGCGGCCCTCGGTGGGCACGAGGGCGAAGAGGACGGTGACGACGCCGGGGCGATGGAGGCCGCTGAGGAGGGCGAGCACATGCAGGGCGAGGAGCAGGCGGCGCCGCCCTGCTACCAGGACTGGGAGGCCGACGAGGGCGAGCCCGCGGAGGAGGATCGGCAAGAGGGCTGGGGCACGGGGGAGGCCGAAGGGGGCGACGGGGGCGAGGAAGAGGCGGCGGAGGGCGGCTGGGGCGAGCCGCGCCTCGACGGTGCTGCACCTGGCGTCGGTCCAGGTGCGCGCGTGGCCGCCGTGCCGACGAGAAAGAAGGTTCGAGGGCAGGCTTTGTGTAAATCAGGGCGTGAATTACCTACCCCGCTTTCGCTTCCAGGCAAAACCAAGTCATACCACGCGCCTCCTCGTCAAGCGGCCTGACCAGTACAGGCCGTAGTTTGGCATCGTTTGGTATCTCTTGGAAGCGAGGGTGGTCAAAAACGAGGTAGGTTTGTTTTCCCCCTAGTAAACATCCGGGAGGGAAAACGAATCTATCAGCGGCACGCCGCCTTTTGGGAGCCCGTGAGCGCGTTGCTCCCTGTTTTTTGGGGGTATGATGGCATTGTGCTCCTTCAGCAGCAACATGCTGACGGATTCCCCCACGGCGGCATGTCATCGACATTGTTTCTGCTCCCCGACGCACTCTCCACTGTGGATCGCCGCTGGGGTTACTGCTGAGGCGGCAAAAGGGGGGGTGTCGAGTTGATGCTGAGGTGGGCTGTACCTCTCTGGCCTGCAGCCCGGCCGGTGAGTGGATGACGGGTGCCCTGAGTGGCGCAGGGGCGTGAAGTTGTGGGCGAAGTGGGCTCAGCCGGCTTGGCAGGGTGACCCCCCCCCCCGGACGCACTTGGGGCACCTGCAGTCTATGTGCTCAAGTGGCCTGCGCCATTCCGACGGCCCCCCAGAGGGAGCGAGTGTTGGCGACGAGCTTGGAAGTTCTCCAGTGGGTCGGGCGCCTCGTGGATGCATATGAGCGGCGCGTGGGAAGCCGCTCAGGGGCCTCTTCGAGGGCTGCTGGGGGCACCTAAGGGGGGCCTCGTGGGCCTCCTTGGGGGTTCTTGAGGACGCCTCGGAGGCCTCTTGTGGCATCATGTGGGCGCCTCGGGGGCGTCGGGGGTCTCTTGGGGCCATCTTGGAGAGAAAGGCTTGAAATGACAGTTCGTATCCTCCCTTTTGGGCTCCTCTTAGGGCCTTCTCTGGGCCCTTCTGTACCGTCATGGAGGCCTCTGCGGCCGTCTTGAGGCCCTCTTTGGCTGTTTGGGGGCCCTCTTGGAGGCTTCATCTGCCCTGTTGGAACGCATCCCGCCACCTTGCCTGGGTTGTGGGTCAGAGTTCTCACGAATGTTTCTTGGGGTCTCTTCGGAGGGCCCTCGGAGGCCTCCTGATGGCAGTTTCGGGGCCACTTTGGGGGCCTCTTGGGAGCCTCTTGGGGGCCTCTTGGAGCCTCGTCCTGGGGGCCCCATCTGGGCCGAGGGCTCGAAATGTCCGTCCGGGTCTCCCCACCTGGGCCCCCTCTCGGGGCCGTCATTTGGGCCTTTGGGGCCGTCTGGGGCGCCTCCTGGGCCTTCTTGGGGCCCTCCTGGGCCGTCTTGGAGCCCTTCTTGGAGGCCTCTTGGGCCGTCTTGGGGCGATCCTGGGGACATCCAGGGCCGTCTGGGAGCGTCGGGAAGCCGAAAAGGCGAGGATTCCGAAGGCCTTCAAAGGCCAAGTGGAAATCCATAATTGGGGCATCTTGGGGCCCTCTGGTGAGGCCTCTTGGAGGCCTCTTGGGGCGTCTTGGAAGCTTCTTGGGCCGTCTGGGGGCCATCTTGAGCGTCTTGGAGCGATCGTTCGGCGACTCGGGGCCCATGGCATTTTTGAACCTTTTATCAGCCAGGCTCTGCCAGACACATCTCACCGTGGCATCCACTTCCTTATATACCACCGCGGGGGGTGCTTCGCGATCTGACCCCCCCATCAGCCACTGAGTGCGCGTGTAACCCACTTGCTAGCTGGGCTAGGTTAGGTGTGCACCACTGAAGAAGCCACGTGCACACCTCGCATCCTCTTAGAGCCCCTAGCGGTGATCCGAGTGTCAAACAGGGCTTCGTGATCTGACCCCCCCTCATCAGCCACTGAGTGCGCGTGTAACCCACTTGTTAGCTGGGCTAGGTTAGGTGTGCACCACTGAAGAAGCCACGTGGACACCTCGCATCCTCTCAGAGCCCCGAGCGACGATCCGAGCGTCAACACAGGGCGGCGAACCACGCAGGGGGCGTCCTGCCCCCTCCTGGAGCCGCAGGCCCTCCGTACCGTTCGCCCGCCGAGCTTCGGAGAGATCGAGCCCCGAAGTTGTATATATATATATATATATATATACACATATGGCTATACATATAGCTATATATAGCTATATCTATATGTAGCTATATATCGATCGATATATATATATATATATATATATATATATATATATATATATTGCTCGAGCAGGATGACGAGCAAGAGTTATACACGGGGGGGGGGCTGTCACGCAGCAGCGCCCCCGGCGCCGCTCCGTGGCCTGGGGCTCTGCGCCCGCTCGCGGGCCCGCCTCGGGCCTCCGGCGGCCGTGCCGGGGCGCGCAGCTGTGGGCATGCCCCTCTTCGGAGCGCCCTCGGCGAGGCGCGGCTGCTGGAGAGCACTCCGAGCCTCGGAGTGCTCCCCAGACCCCCTCGGGTCGGGAAAAAATCGCGACGGGAGGTTTTTCACGATTTTCGGCCCCTGGGGGCCCTTGCCGGGCCTCGGGACCGTCAAAAAACGACTCGGGATGAAAAACCGGTCCCAGGGAAGGGGTCCGGACCTCTGGGGGTCGCGTCATGAAAAAATCCTGACGTCGGTGGTCTGGGTCTCCAGCAGCGAGGACGGCCAGCCTTTTCGGCGGCCGACGCACGGGCGGCGCACGGGCGACGAACGCGCGACCCCACCCCCTTGTCGCGAAGGGGTGTGGGGGGGTCAGCACGCCAGTCGTGCTACTGGGCCTCAGCACTCCGAGGCTGGAAGATCGTCTTGGGCCGAGCATTTTCTTTGGGTGGAGGGCGTAGGGCAACGTCTGAAGTGCCGTTTCGATGGATGTTCGAGGCCTGAATCTGCAAGAGGTGAATCACAAGACGGATTGATTCTCGAGGTGCGAAAGCCCACGCGGATGTCACCCTGAGCCCTCCACCCTAAGGAAATGCTCTGTTGGGAACCGACGAAAACGTCCGAAATCGTCGAGCGTTCCCCCTCGGCGCGCCGCCGACTCAAGGCGCAGCCCCTGCTGGCGCCCCAGGCGAAGTTCGGGCCGCGGCCGCCCGCGGGGCCGCCGCCGCCGGGCCTCGCGCGGCTGGCGCGGGCCCGGGCGGCGGCGGAGGCCGACGCGGAGGGGCGGCCCGCAGCGCCGGCGGCTGCGCGCCGCGGCCCCGAGGGCAGCGGCAGCCTCGGGCTCGCAGGTGGCCCCAGCGCGGCGTGGCGGCGCCTGCAGCGGCCCATGCTCGGGGGCGGCCACGGGGGGTGATGTTCGAGGCGGGGGCCGATGGATGGGGCGTTCCAAAAGTGGTCCTGCCTTCGAGGGCAGGAGGAGCTGTCATCTCTCTGCCTCGGCGGAGGGCGGCGGAAGGGCGGCGGAAGGTGGCGGGGGTAAAAGAGGCGCCCCCCAAGACAGGAAGACGTTCAGGGTTTCTGGAATCGGCCACGTGACCATCGCCCGGAGGATCGATCTCGTGGACCTCCACGGGCGGTGGATATGGAGATATGTTGGCCCCAGGGGGCCCGAATTCATCCATGTCCAACGCCGTGGGATATGGGTATGGATAGATCCTTGCTTCGCATGATGGCGGTAACTGCCCGGACATGCTCGCGTCGGGGGGAACACAAACATCGGGACTGGACGTGTTTGGTCATTTGGGGCCTCTGTGGAACTTCACCTGGCCCGGGGGCCGTGATGAAATCGACTCAGGAGGAACATCTGCTCCCGGGGAAAGGGTCGGGACTGCCAGGGGGCCCGCGTTGGAAAGAGATCGGCATCACATGTCTGGATAGGCACGGGTGGAGATCGTGGCCGGGGTCGTGAGCTCTCCCCGCATCTCATGACCCCCCTCTTTTTTCCTCCTTGTTATTATTATTATTCTTCGTTTTTTCTTCTTCTTCTTCTTCTTCTTCTTCTTCTTCTTCTTCTTGAGGAGGACGACCCCTGCCCCTCCCCTCGTCCGCGCACGCGCCTCGGGCCATGCTTGGCGAGCTCCCCTCCCCTTGGCCGCCCCCGGCGTGCCGAGGGAGGAACGGCGGCATGAGCATAACCTGTCCGAGCTCCGCGCCGATCTCTCGCATCGGCACCAGGCCCCCCCGTGGCGGCGCCTCCGGCGCGCCCGGCGCGCGAGGGAGGGGCCCGCGCGGATCCAAGAGATCCGCGCGGAGCTCCGAGGTCTGCGCGGAGCTCGGAGGTCTCGGCGCGCTCCGCGCGGACTCGGGTCTCCGACCCTCAGACCCAGACCCCCTCGGGTCGTGAAAAAATCACGACGGGAGGTTTTTCGACAATTTCCGCCCCCGGGGGCCCTTACCGGGCCTCGGGACCGTCAAAAAACGACTCGGGATGAAAAACCGGTCCCAGGGAAGGGGTCCAGACCTCTGGCGGTCGCGTCATGAAAAAATCATGACGTCGGTGGTCTGGGGAGCGTGAATTACCTACCCCGCTTTCGCTTCCAGGCAAAACCAACTCATACCACGCGCCGCCTCGTCAAGCGGCCTGACCAGTACAGGCCGCAGTTTGGCATCGCCTGGCATCTCTTGGAAGCGAGGGTGTTCAAAAGCGAGGCAGGTTTGTCTGCCCCCTAGATCCAAGAGATCCAAGAATGTGTATGCTTGTGCCGTCTTTGCTGCCTCCGCCGTAGGTTCGTAGGCGGCGCGCGCGGGCCATCGGAGGGCGGCACTCGTCCGCACTCCTCACGCGCACCGGCTGCCCGCCGCTCTCTCTCTGGGGGGGAGAGGGTGCCGAGGCCGCGGCTCGTCCTGGAGATGGTTCGTCGCCGCGGCGTGGTTCGTCTCGGAGTCCTGGTCAGGAGATGGCCGTGGAACAGCTGTATCGGTTTCTCTTGGCGCTCTCATTCTCCCGCTCCTGTCCTCTTCCTGCCGCTGCCCCCTGGTCAGTGCACCCCCGCATGCTATCGGGTCCAGAGTTGGAGCTTCTTCTCGCGCGCGTGATGCGCGTGAGGCCGTTGTTCTTCACCAAAGGCCACAGGTGCTGCAGACGGTTGGCGGGCTAACTCCGGTTTCATCCAGGGAGTTTCAAGAAAGGCTTCGTCTTCGAGGTAACGATACAGGGACCTCTCGGCCTCCGCGGAAGACCTGCTCAAAACGTCGACTCTTGGTCTCCAGCATTGCGCCCTGAACATATTTTCGTGGGCGGATCCAGCCGTGGCGAGAGCCCAAAGCGGGTGACCTGGAATATCGATCTTCGCACCTCGAAATTCAGCCGCTCGACCGCCCCTGAGACCTCTGGACGCTGCTTCCCTTCTTCCTCCTCTCTCCTCCTTATCCCATCCTCTCCATGTTATATTCCTCCTCCTCCTCCTCCTCCTCCTCCTACTCCTCCTCCTCCTCCTCCTCCTCCTCCTCCTCCTCCTCATTCTCATCATCTCACCCTCTCCGCTCCTGCTCCTTGTCCCTTTCGATCTCCTCATCGCGCACTTGTTTCTCCTCTTCCCGCCGCTCTCATCCTATATCCTCCTCCTCCTCCTCCTCCTCTTCTCTCATCCTCCTCCTCCTCCTCCTCCCTCCTCCTCCTCTCCTCCTCTCCTCCCTCCTCCTCCTCCTCCTCTCCTCCTCCTCCCTCCTCCCTCCTCCTCCTCCTCTCCTCCTGCTCCTCCTCCTCCTCCTCCTCCTCCTCCTCCTCCTCCTCCTCCTCTCCTCCCTCCTCCCTCCTCCCTCCTCCCTCCTCTCTCCTCCTCCTCCCCCCTGCCAGCCGCCCCGAGACGCCGCGCCCGCCCGCCCCCCGCGCTCAAAGAGAGGGGGCCCAGACCCGCGGCAGGGCCCCCCCCCCCGGCGAAGGCCCCGCGCGGCGGGGCGCTCCGCCGACGATGTTCGCCGCCTGCGGGAGCGGCCCGGGTGTGCTCGTGAGCGGGCTGGAGGGAGGGAGGGGGGAGAGGAGGAGGGGGGAGAGGAGGGGCGGGGGGAGGAGGAGGAGGAGGAGAAAGAGGAGGGAGGAGGGGGAGGAGGAGGGGGAGGGAGGGCGACAGGGAGCGAGGGAGGGAGGGAGGAAGGGGGAGGACGAGGAGGTGCTCCGATGTAGGCCCTCGGGCTACTGTGCAACCGATGGCGTTTGGCACAATGTTCGCAATCGCATCACGGCGGTGCAGATCTCATCAGCACTTCTGGTCGACTCGCGTACTGAACAGGAGTCCCATCCTCAATACCATCGCCCTGCTGAATCTTGAATGGTGTTGGAGCAAGGAGATGCCAGCGAGAGCGGGAACGGCAACGTCAGCCACACGACAAGACGAGATATAAAACAACGTCGCCAATTTTGAGTTTGAAAGCCAAGGGGCCGGGGTGCCCACCCGTCCAGGAGCGTGCGGATTCGCCATCGAGGGCCCATCGACGACCAATCGGCGATGTGTAGCGCCGATGTCAGCTCGAGGCTTCCTCCCTGAGCATGTCCTCCTGCCATCGCCCCTCCATGAGGAAGGGAGGCATGGAGGTGGAGGAGGGAGGGGGAGAAGGAGGAGGAGGGGGAGGAGAAGGAGGAGGAGGAGGGAGGAGGAGGAGGAGGAGGAGGAGGAGGAGGAGGAGGAGGAGGAGAGGAGGAGGAGGAGGAGGAGGAGGAGGAGGAGGAGGAGGAGGAGGAGGAGGAGGAGGAGGAGGGGAGGAGGAGGAGAGGAGAGCGAGAGGAGGAGCAGAGAGAGGAGGAGGAGGAGGAGAAGAGAGAGGAGGAGGAGGAGGAGGAGGAGGAGGAAGAGAGGAGGAGGAGAGGAGAGGAGGAGGAGGAGGAGAGAGGAGGAGGAGGAGGAGGAGGAGGAGGAGGAGGAGGAGGAGGAGGAGGAGGAGGAGGAGGAGGAGCGGAGGAAGGAGGAGGAGGAGGAGGAGGAGGAGGAGGAGGAGGAGGAGGGAGGGAGGAGGAGGAGGAGGAGGAGGAGGGAGGAGGAGGAGGAGGAGGAGGAGGAGGAGGAGGAGGAGGAGGAGGAGGAGGAGGAGAGGAGGAGGAGGAGGAGGAGGAGGAGAGTGGAGGAGGGAGGGAGGAGGAGGAGGAGGAGGAGGAGGAGGAGGAGGAGAGAGAGAGGAAGAGAGAGGAGGAGGGAGGAGGAGGGCGAAGGGAGGAGGAGGAGGAGGGAGGAGAGGAGGGGGGAGGGGGATGAGGGAGGGGGAAAAGGGGGAGTCCAGATGTTCGACGACGATCCTTGTCGGTGTAGCGGTTTTGCTTCGACCGCGGCCCCTGCAGGGGGCCCGTGGTCGGGCCCCGGGGCCACTCGGAGCTTTTTGTCCCCAACGGGTACTGAGTTCCCCGGGGAGAGGGTCGGGACATCTGGGGCCGCGCACGGATGGTTTGGAGGGGGGAGGAGGGAGGAGGGAGGAGGGAGTATGGAGGAGAGGGGTGCAGAGGACGATGGTGGGGGAGGAGGGGAGGAGGAGGAGGAGGGAGGAGGGAGGAGGAGGAGGAGGAGGAGGAGGAGGAGGAGGAGGAGGACGATGAGGAGGAAGATGAGGAAGATGAGGAGGAGGAGGAGGAGGACCATGAGGAGGAAGAGGAGGAAGAGGAGGAGGAGGAAAGAGGAGGATGAGGAGGAGGAAAAGGCGGAAGGAGGAGGAGGAGGCGGAGGAACAGGTAAAAGAGGAGGAGGAAGAGGAGGAGGAGGACCAGTGGAAACCCAAGAGTCATCAACAATGTTGGAATGAACCCTTCTTCCAAGCTCCCTCTTCATAGGCTCCTACATCGGTTCGTGTCCATTGAGGGAGCTGCCTCGTTGGAGGACAAGCGTTTGAAGACCGTGAAGCATGCCAAAACATGGTTCCCGGGACTCCAACGCCACGGATCGACCTGATTGTTTCGTCTTGACGATCTTGACTCGTGCCAGAACGCAGTCTTGAGATTTCAACGCAACGAATCCACGTGACTGTTGCACCCTCATAAGCCTAAACCCTTCCGAAACACCAGTTCTGGTACGCTGATCTTGGGAATCCGTGAAACTCCTGCAATGTTTTAACGAATGTGCGCGGCAGTAAGGCGAGAGCCACATTGTGAAAGGGAACCGCCCTCAATCCGTGAAGCTCTTGCAAATGTTTAAATCATCGACTATGCGTGGCGCTAAGGCGAGACTCACATGTTGAAAACCACCGCCCTCAATCCGTGAAGCTCTTGCAATTTGTTAAGACGAATGTGCGCGGCGCTGGGGCGAGAGCCACGTTTTGAAAACGACCCGCCCTCAATCCGTGAAGCTCTTGCTAACTGTTAAAACGAACG